TGTATATTTTTAGTGAAGAAGGTATAAATAATGGAAATATTTCGTTTGGTTGGTTAAGAAAGATAAATTTGTCCCAAAGTACTAGGAGGAAAAAAGAAAGGCATAGGACAAGTTCTGAATGTAAAAGAAAATTATAAAAGGTTTGTGGAAGAGGAATTCTGGAAAAAGAGTTTTATGCATGGTCAAGTTGGCTGAGATTAAAATAAATCCAATTAAGTAAATGAGTTTTAATGTCAAAAGCTGGTGCATAATTAGAATTTAGTTCTCTCTCTCTTAAAAGGATAATTTTCTTGAATTTCATTCTGCTCTTGGTAGAGAAATCATGAAAGGTTTTGTTTTATCAAAATAAATTTCCTGTATTATTTTTACCAGGTTTTTAATCTCAGGTGCTAAGGTTTTTCCTACAGCTATTTAATCCTGCATTCGCTTAAAAATCTTTAATTGTCACCATGGTTAAATGGATAACTAAGCATTGTTTCATAGGGACCTGTGATATTATGTGGGTAAATGTTATTGATATAGGTATTTTGAAATTGTGTAACATTACTAAAATTCTGATCTGTCCTGGTTATCTGTCATAATTCTAGTTATTATTTTAAAGTGTTGTATGTCACAAAATTAACCAAATTTATTTGTCAATTGCCATTTTGTGGTCTTGTTGTTTACAGACTGTTATTGCTTTGCTCTGATGCTTTTGAAAAATACATTTCATCTTCAGAGAAATTCATGGAAAGAACTCTGACATTTACTCTGGAGTGCAAGTTTCTGATAAACTTTCAGATCATGAAACTGAACTGGGTAAGAAATAACAGAACTCTAACAGAGAAACTGCTGACTTCATGAAACTGCTAACAGAAGATTAAGATCAAGAATTGATTACACAGGACTGAATGAACTGAAGAGGATGATTATAATTTTTATGACTTTTGTTTGAAATATTCCTGATTTTTTAAATGTTTTGTTTTCAGTTTTAAGGAAAACTTTCCCCTTTTCTCTCAAGCTAACTACAACTTATAGCAATTTGGTAAACTATACTTTTGTAAGCAGAATTAAAACATTTATCTTTTCTCTCTACCTGATCCCTCCAGAATTTGGAAACTCTTAGTAAGTGAATATTCTTATTTCATGGCAATATAGTTATTTGCATAAGTTCAATAAGAATCTGCTCTCCTTATAACAGGACACAATTGGAAACATTGGTTACATTACGAAGGCTTTGACTGGAATATTATATTTGAGAAAAACATACAGACTCAGATATAAAAAGAGCTTTTGAGAGACAAAGATTGGACTTTATGAAATAAAGCCAGGTGGAAATACTAGCCTGGTACCTTATGTACAGCATTCCAAGCAACACTTACTGGATAAGTAAGAGATGCCACTTACCTGGCAGGTGCAAGGAACCTCAAAACATTTTGGGGAACCTCGAAAAGAGAGGAATTCTCCCAAATCTGTAGGTATTGCAGGCAAAGTCTGATGACAAAGTCCTTGGCTTGGCTTTCCTGGACTAGAGGCCTTCAAAGTTCAATCTGAGATTCCTTATAAAAAGTTCCAGCCGGGCCGGTCCTGTGGCTTAGCGGTTAAGTGCGCATGCTCCACTACTGGCGGCCTGGGTTCGGATCCTGGGCGCACACTGACACACCGCTTCTCCGGCCATGCTGAGGCCGCATCCCACATACAGCAACTAGAAGGATGTGCAACTATGGCATACAACTATCTACTGTGGCTTTGGGGAAAAAAAAAAGGAGGAGGATTGGCAATAGATGTTAGCTTAGAGCCGGTCTTCCTCAGCAAAAAGAGGAGGATTAGCATGGATGTTAGCTCAGGGCTGATCTTCTTCACACACACACACACACACAAATAAATAAATTGTTAAAAAAAAAAAAGTTCCAGCAAAGCAAATTTAAAACAGCCTATATGATCAGTTGCTATTCTTGCTGTACTTAGGTAAATAATCAGGCCAAATTCATTGAAAACTAGACTTATTTTGCAAACCAGTTAGTCTTATTTTGACTACCTTTGGTAAAAATGAGGGTGATTTTAGAAAGATTATGTTTCAATAGAAACTATAATACACAATTGTGGATGTTAAATTCTGGTTCTGTTAATTGTCTTTGAGGTTTTTGTTATATCTGTTAACTGGACTGGATCCTGAATTCTTCTAGTCTCCTGAAATATCTGGCTTCAAATCTCCAAACTAACATTTTCAATTTTTTTCCCACCATTTTCACTTGGAATCACTGAGAACTGAAGCTGCCCTTTTCCCTAAAGCCTTGCAAACTGAAGCTGGAGGACTTGATATAAACTTAAGAGAGATTCACGTCTGTAGCTATGTAAGCCACTCAGAAAGGTACCTGAATACCCAATGACATTATCAGAGACATTTCAAATTGCAAAAGATGCTTTGACTCGGACATCTAGAAATCTTTTTGGCTGCCCCCCAGACCCAGAAACTGATTTATAATTTGCTCCCACCGTTAACTGTTTTCTTTTTGTCTTATTAATTACCTGGTTACTTGCTTCCACAATATAGGCCTAATTTTGGGAGCCCATCTGCATTACCATACTACTAACAGACTGGTTCAATAAGATGGAACAACAGGATGTCCCTAAAGATTGAGGGATTAAACAACAAAAGGGGGGAATTGATACCGGCTCAAGACAACCTTGACATAAGGAAAGCCATATTGTAAAAAAGAAACACTATTTTAACTTTGAATGACCTCTGACTAACTCACTCAGCCGGATATGCACCCTCCAGGAGATCTAACTGCTCTGTAGATTTTACAACCCTTGCTTGTGTATGTACATCCCTGCTGGGATAAGATGACAACTCTGCTCTTTCCAGTTCCTTAGGAATGTGATGACACCCGAACAGAGAATCTATGCTAATATCCACCATCAATGAAAACTGAAAGATCTGGTGTGGTGACTCCCAGTCTGTAACAACCAAGGGTCAACATTCCTAATCTCCCTCCCCTATAACCCACTGGCCTATATAACTGCTGTAAGATTTTGTGCCCCTTAAGACTGTTGTTTGAGACATTAGTTGGCCATCTTCCCCCTTGCTAGCAAGCTGTAATAAACTGTCCTTTCTTTTCCACCATCTTGCCTCTTGACGATTGGCTTTTGTTCCAGGCGAGCAGATCATGTCCTTTGCCCGGTAACAGGTATGGCAAGAGAAAGGAGCTGGAACTCCAGACCCCACGGTGCCTGGGGCAGACGCTGGTTCAGGTGGGGAGCAGGGGAGCACCAGGTCGGAGACTCCTAGAGTGCAGGCACCTCCGCGGAGGCAGTTAAGGGCACTCCCGTCGGGGCTGAGCCTCCACCCCTGGCCCCAGAATCCGAGTTTCCCCTTTTCACTCAATGGCCGGAATCCCGACTTTCACACGCGGCGCCCGCGGGTCTGGAAGAGTGGCGGGCCGCGAGCTGCCCTGGCGCATTCCCGGTAAGAGCGCGGGAGCTGCGGGCACGCGGAGGAGCCTCCAACCCCACGGAGGTTCCTATGTCTCAGGCTCCTCCCGGCAGGGCTTCCCCAGCCCTCTGGGCTCCCGGCGCCAAGTCCCCGCCGCCGTCCGGGGACGAAGGTCCTCACCCCCGCCCGGAGGTGGGGCGCAGACCCAGGCCGCCAGCGAAGAGTCCACACTGCCCTCCGGAGGCCGAGTCCCCACTTGACGCGCTCGGGGCAGAGTCTCAGCTTATCGCCTCCGAACGCAAATCCTGACCTTTCCAGGCGACCCCAGGAGGTGCTCACAACCCGCCGACCCTGATCTGGTCACGTCTTAAACCCGCCCTCGCGGGGATCAGAGAGCCGAGGGAGCGGCCCCGGGACTGTGGACGGGAAGCAGAACCACCACAGAAGGCGCTTCCGGTGCCCCCACCCACCCCGCGCCCGGGAAGCCCCCTCGCCGCCCGCGACCACCCCGGAGGGCGGAGGGTCCCCGTGTGGGGTTGAGCTTCCACGCGAGCCCCAGACCCCAGCGTGGACCGTCGCCGGCTCCCTCCCGCGCCCCTGCGGGGACAGTCTCGGTGCCCACTGGGCTGAACGCCGCCGCAGCCCCACGGCTCCAAAGCGACCCCCAGCACTCCGCGACCTGGTGCCCAGCGCCCTTCACTGTGGCCTGCGTCGCCGTGGGAACTACGTTACCCATAATGCCCGGGCAGCGCGCCCAAACGTGCAGTCAATGAAGGCCCGGAACGTTTCCGCGTTTGGACCATGGGTCGGGGCGGGAGTTCCGGCGTCGCCATGGTGGCAGTCGCTCTGACTGCTCTCGGGTCAGCCGTGGTCTGACAGCTCCAGGAGCGGGGAGTCGGGCTCGTGGTGACCACATCGAGAAGGCCCTAGGGGCGGGGTAGTCCCCACGGCACAGCGGCTGGTCTGAAGGTCGGCGGCGGCGGTGGATGACCGCCGTGCACGGGTCCCGGTTCTGTCGCCCGCCACTTAGGATCCCCGCTCCGCCCCCAGAGTCCGATGGCGGCGGCCGCGCGGAGGGAGCCGGCTCAGGTCAGTTCGTGCTCCGCGCCCTCCCGCCCTCAGCCCAGCCCAGCCCTAGAGCCCCGAGTGCGGGCGCCGCTCACGGGCCTGCAGCCCAGGCCCCGGTGTCCGGGACGGGGAGGCGCTCGTGGGAGGGGTCGCTATATCTGAAAACCAGTGTGATGAGGTGTAGGAGAGGGTTACAGGCAGAGGGACCATTTTGTGTAAAGTCGTGGAGGGGCGATTGATCCAGAAGCATTCGCGCCTGGAACGGCAAAGTGAGGCGTTTTACCTTCAACCTCTGGTAACCATGGAGGGTTGTGAATAGAAGATGCACATGATCTGAGTTCGACTTTCAGATTTTTCAAAGTTGCTCAGAGTTAGAACACACAGGAAAGGGAATGATAACACTGAGGCACAGGGAGGTTGAGTCCTTGTCGAAGGTCACAGCTGTTAAGAGTCAGCACTGAGGACTGAGGCTCAGAGATAATGTAGTCATCCCAGGTCACCTGGCTCCAGGGTTGGACAGGGGTACAGGGAGGCCTGAGCCCATGGAACCCTTCCCTGGTTACATCCCTCTAATGACCTCTCTCTTCCCACAGATTCCCATGACTACAGAAGCACTTGTGGACTGTACGCAGGTGAGTGACTGGAGGATATTCCAGGTCCTCAGTGGCGCTCACCCCACCCTTTGTCTCTGGGATTGTGTCCTGGGACTCTTCACCTGTCACTCTTCCAGTCCTTGGGCCTGGAGATCCTGAAGAAACCCCAAGCCCAGGGTGGTAAATCCAGGCTGGAGGTTGTATGGAGAGGTTCCTGTTGCTGACAGCCAATACAATGAGGTGTAAAAGGTTGCTTCAGACAGAGGTACCAGAACGTGCTAATGCTGGGAGATGAGACTGAGCTTGTTCAGGGAAGTGCAGTTCTCCTCTCTCCTGTCTCCTCAAAAAGAAAGGAGAACTGAGAACAGGTGGGAAGGTGTCAGGCCTGGAATGGCTCCAGGAGAAGTTGGGTGTCTCTTCTGGAGGTGATGGGAGAAATAGAAGGTTTGGAGCAGGGGTGGCAGTGATCTGACCCAGGTCTCATCAGGCTCTCTGTGGCTGCAGCATGGAGAACAGACTGGGGGTGTGGGGAGGCGATAGGAATAACAGGGAAGAGGTGACGGCAATACTTCAGGTGAGTGTTGGTGGTATACCAGTGTGGTGGTCCTAGAGGTGGGAGAACTGGTTGGATTCTGGATCAGTTTTTTAATTAGGGCTGCCCAGAATTTCAGATTTTGAGGATGAGGGAGAGAAAGGTAGGGGTCAGTGATGACCCCAAAGTTTTGGGGTTCAGCAGCTGGAAGGATGGAAACTCCATTAACCAGGATATTAAAGTTGGTAGTAAGATTAATTTTCATTGAGGATATCAATATTGTTTTGGGCTGTCTTAAGTCTGAGATGTTTCAGAGAACAATTAGTAGATGGCCACACAGGTCTGGAACTCTGAGGAGGAATTCAGTATGGACACATCCAAAAGTGGTCGCCAGTGTCTGCACTGGGGTGTAGCTGTGGGTCACAATTAGGAGGGGGTCATGGTCATCATGGTAATGGTATTAGCAGCGCAGCAATGGGGCAGTGGGGTTAGAGTTAGGGTCTCATCCTTGGGTACCTGGGAGGGGTGGTGGGCATCACGAACACAGCTGAGGGAGAGAAGTGGCTGTGGGGAGGTTGTAGGAGAGTAGATGATCTGTCAGGTGGCCAAGGCTTCCATGGGAAGTGTAGACATGAGAGGAATGCAGAGTAATTGAGACAAGATGACAGTTGAGGGCAGCACTAGTGTTTATTCACTGCTCTGTGGGCTCACCAGGATTTTGTTGTGATCTTGCTGTGTCTTGGGTGTTTCAGTCAGGCTGGCAGTTTAGCACAGGGGCACAAGTGACCATTTGGGAGAGTCTCTGGGCCTGGGGTAGAGGACCTCTGGGGCTGGGCTTTGAATGATGATTAGACAGAGAGAGGAAGGCAGTGACTGGTGAGGGGACATCAAGTGAGCACAGGTGGAAGTAAGCCCTGGGTATCTGAGAACTGCAGGTGGTTCTCGGTGGCTGAGATTGAAGCAAGGAGGAGAATTGGGCAGGGAGGCCTGCAGGGCAGGGTTTGTCCCCTCTGGCAGTTCAGATCATCGGAGGTCTGAGTAGTACTGGATCCTGTTTGAATTGACCAGCACCATCTGGATGCCATGTGCTGAGTAACAGATGGGGAGGCCAGGGAGATGCCTGTGGTGTGGACAGGAGGGTAGAAGTGGTTGCTGGCCGAGACTGAGAGAGAGGTGTGGAAGAAAGAGTGCCGTGGAGAGAGAGTGTGAACTGAAGGACCTAGGGCCGTGACGTTGAGGACAGAAGGGTGAAGGGTGAGCCCACATTTGGTTGTGTCTGAGAGGCACAATCTGGGGGACTCCAGAGGAATTGCCTACAAGAGGCCATACGCCCTAGTGCCAGGCCCAGCGTTTAGATGGTTTCTCCCTGCCCACCTGCCTGTTGTTGCTGTGAGCAGGCAGGGTGGTCATGATGCCGTGAGGAGAGGGCAGGAATCTGTGGCACCAGGGCCTGATATTTCCTCTAAGGTGGGGTCATTGGAAGGAAGGTGAGCAGGGGCTGGATGTGTGGGTGGAGGAACTTGGGGACCTAGGAGAGAAGTTGATCATGGAATAATCTGTCCCCATCATGGCAGGGCTGTGTGACCTTTGAGGACGTGGCCATTGACTTCTCCCAGGAGGAGTGGGGGCTCCTAGATGAGTCTCAGAGACGCCTGTACCATGACACAATGCTGGAGAACTTTGCACTTATAGCCTCTCTGGGTAAGGCCCTTCACCCACCCCAGTGACCTGGTTCCTATCTGTCCTCTTTTCACCCAAAGGCAGCTCTCTCCTTTCCACAGCTGGACCATGGGCTCTGCTAACTTCCTCACTTTCTCTGCATGTGTGCTGTGGGTGCCAGCGCTGAGCTGTGTGCACTGCCTTGAGCAGCTGTAAGTCCTTTTGCCCCAAGGTGCACAGGGAAGGGTCTGAGCTTCAGGAGTCTGAAAGTCAGCCTGGTGCATCTTACCTTGTTTGCGCTCTCCTTGGCGGGGTGAAAGTATCCATGGCACTTTGTGTTCCAGGTTCTGATTGAGTCAGTCATGTTAATAATATTGATACTGGGTATTGGGGATGGGACCACAGCATTCAGGTTGTAGTCCATGAGGCACCCTTTAATTTTTCCAGATATCAGAACAGGCACAATTGGGCTGTAGAATGGAGAAGCAGTGAGGATAATCACCCCTTTATTTATTACATTTTATATAATAAGTTTTAATCCTTGAAGGCCCTGTTTTAACTTACATTGGGCCATATTAACTGTTTTAGCTAGGTGGCCTATAGGGTACTATTTTATTAAGCCAGTTTGTGTCAACGACTTAACGTAAATTTAAATTTATTATTCATCATGTTAGAGCATCTGTGCCCAGTATGGGATATTTTCAGGTAACGGATGCTATGACGTTGAGAAAGTTAGGAAAGGCTACAGTTCAAGTGAGGCATATATGTTTTTCTCTGTTTTATATTTAGTTACTTTCCTACGAGTATAGGGGTACAGTGTGTAAAAGTAGTGGGATCCCCAGATATAGTTTGAGCCCCACTAATGATTATGTTTATGAAGTTTGGCCATTGGTGCCTTTTAGTAAATGTTAAAGGTTATTTATTTTTTAATGTTTAAACCACTTTATTGAGGAATGATTGACATGTAAAAAGCTGTACATATTTCATATATACAACTCAGTGGATTTGGGGATAGGTATATACCCTTGAAACCATCATCACGCTCAAGGCCTAAATGTATCCATCACCTCCAAAGTTTCCTCCCATGTCTTTATTATTATTATTATTTTTTGTGTACATGTGATAAGAATACTTAACATAAGATTTACCCTTGTAGCAAACTTTAAGTATACATCACAGTATCGTTAGCTATAGACACTGCTGTATAGCAGATCTCCAGAACTTAGGATCTTGCTAATTGAAACTTTGTACCCTTCAACCATCTCTTTCCCTTTTCCCCTTTCCCCCAGCCTTGGGCAAACACCGTTCTACTCTTTGCTGCTATGAGTTTGACTATTTTAGATTCCACATATAAGTGAGATCATATGGTGTTTGTTTTTCTGTGTCTGGCTTGTTTCACTTAGCATATTGCCCTCAAGGTCCATCCATGTTGTCACAAATGGCAGGATTTCCTTCTTTCTCATGGCTGAGTAGTATTCCATTGTATGTATATATGACATTTTCTTTATCCATTCAGCTATCAGTGAACATTGAGGTTTTTCTGTATCTTGGCTTTATGATAATGCTGCAGTGGCCATGAGAGTGCTGGTATCTCTTGGAGAACTTGATTTAAATTTCTTTGGATAAATACCCCAAAATGGGATTGCTGGATCATATGGTAGTTCTATTTTTATTTTTGAGGAAGCTCCATACTGTTGTCCATAATGGCTGTACCAATTTACATTTCTACCAAAAGTGTACGAAGGTTCCTTTTTCTCCACATCCTTGCCTACATTTGTTATCCTTTGTTTTTTTTCTTTTAATAATAGCCATCCTAACAGGCCTGAGATGATATCTCATTTTGCTTTTGATTTGCATTTCCCTGATGATTAGTAATGTTGAGCACCTTTCCATATACCTGTTGGCCATTTGTATGTCTTTGGAGAAATGTCTATTCAGGTCCTTTGCCCATTTTTTAGTTGGATTATTTGTTTTTTTTGCTATTGAGTTGTACGAGTTCCTTATATATTTTGGCTGTTAACTCCTATCAGATAGATATACAGTTTGCAAATATTTTCTCCCATTCTGTAGCTTGTCTTTTCATTTTGTTGATTATTTCCTTTGCTGTAGAGAAGCTTTTAGTTTGATGTAGCCCCACTTGTTTATTTTTGCTTTTGTTGTCGTATCCAAAAATTCATTGCCAAGACCAATGTCAAGGAGCTTTTCCCCTAGGTTTTCTCTAGGAATTTTATGGTTTCAAGTCTTTTTTTTTTTTTTTTTTTTTTTTTAAAGATTTTATTTATTCATTTTTTCCCCCCAAAGCCCCAGCAGATAGCTGTATGTCGCAGGTTCACATCCTTCTAGTCGCTGTACGCGGAACTCGGCCTCGGGTTGGACGGAGATGTGGTGCCTCGGGGCGCGCCCGGGATCCGAACCTGGGCCGCCAGCATCAGAGCGCGCACACTTAACTGCCAAGCCACGGAGCCGGCCCGGTTTCAAGTCTTATATTTAAATTTTTAATCCACTTTGAGTTGATTTTTGTGTATGGTGTAAGATAAGGGTCAAATTTCATTCTTTTGTGTGTGGATGTCCAGTTTTCCCAGCACCGTTTATTGAACAGGCCACCATTTCCCATTTTGTATTCTTGGCCCCTTGTCAAACATTAATTGACCATATATTCATGGGTTTATTTCTGTGTTTTCTATTCTGTTCCATTGGTCTATGTGTCTGTTTTTATGCCAGTACCACACTGTTTGGACTACTGTAGCTTTGTAACATAATTTGAAATCAAGAAGCGTGATGCCTCTTGCTTTGTTCTTCTTGCTCAAGAATACCTTGGCTACTCAGGGTGTTTGGGGTTCCATATGAATTTTAGGATTATTTTTTATACTTCTGAGAAAAATGCCGTTGGAATTTTGAAAAGGATTGCATTGAATCTGTAGAACGCTTTGGGTAGTATGGACATTTTAAGAATATTAATTCTTCCAATCCATACACAGAGTATATCTTTCCATTTATTTGTGTCTTCTTTAATTTCTTTCATCAATGTTTTATAGTTTTCAGTGTACAGATCTTTCACCTCGTTGGTTAGATTTATTCCTATGTATTTTATTCTTTTTGATGCTATTGTAAAAGAGATTGTTTCTTTTTAAAGATTTTATTTTTTATTTATTTTTTCCCTCCAAAGCCCCAGTAGATAGTTGTATGTCATAGCTGCACATCCTTCTAGTTGCTGTATGTGGGACTCGGCCTCAGGATGGACGGAGAAGTGGTGCCTCAGTGCGCGCCCGGGATCCGAACCCGGGCCACCAGCATCGGAGCGCGCGCACTTAACCACCAAGCCACGGGGCCGGCCCAAAGAGATTGTTTCTTAATTTCTTTTTTGTATAGTTTGTTGTTAGTGTATAAAAATGCAACTGATTTTTGTATGTTGATTTTTGTATCCTGCAACTTCACTGAATTCATTAATTCTGACAAGTTTTGGTATAGTCATTAGAGTTTTCTGTATATAAGATTATGTTATCCACAAACAGAGATAATTTTACTTTTCCCTTTCTGGTTTGGATACCTTTTATGTCTTTTTCTTGCCGAACTACTCTGGTTGGGACTTTCAGTACTATGTTGAATAGAAGTGGGGAGAGTGGTCATCCTTGCATTGTTCCTGATCTTAGTGAAAAAGTTTTCAGCTTTCCCCATTGAGTATGATGTTGGCTGTGGGCTTGTCATATACAGCCTTTATTATATTGAGGTACGTTCCTTCTATATCTATTTGTTGAGAGTTTTTATCATGAAAGGACACTGAATTTTGTCACATGCTTTTTCTGTATCTATTGAGATGATCTTACAATTTTTATCCTTCATTCTTTTAATGTGGTGTATCACATTTATTGATTTGTGTTTGTTGAAATATCTTTGCATTCCAGTGATAAGTCACAGTTGGACATGGGGTATGATCCTTTTATTGTGCTGTTGAATTTGGTTTCATAATGTTTTGTTGAGAATTTTTGCATCTGTGTTCATCACGGATATTCACCTGTAATTTTCTTGTGTTAGGTAGTCTTCTTATCTGGCTTTGGTATGAGAGTAATGCTGCCTTGTAAAATGATTTTGGATGTGTTCCCTCCTTTTCAGTTTTTTGGAGGAGGATTGGTATTGAATGTTCCATAGAATTCACCAGTGAAGCCATCAAATCCTAGGATTTTCTTTTTGGGGAGGTTTTTGATTACTGATTCAAAGTCCTTACTCATTATTGGTCTGTTCAGATTTTCTGTTTCTTCATGATTAAGTCTTGGTAGGTTCATTGTTTCTAGGAATTTATTCATTTCTTCTAGGTTATCCAATTTGTTGGTGTGCAGTTGTTCATAGTAGTCTCTTAGGATCCTTATATTTCTGTGGTATCAGTTGTAATGTCCCCTCTTTCATTTATAATTTTATTTATTTGAGTCTTCTCTCTTTTTTTTGCTTAGTCTAACTAAAGGTTTGTCAATTTTATCTTTTAAAAAAAAATTCTTAGTTTTGATCTTTTCTGTTTTTCTAGTCTCTATTTTATTTATTTCTGCTTTGATCTTTATTATTTCCTTCCTTTTGCTAACATTGGGCTTAATTTGTTCTTCTTCTGGTTCCCTGAGGTGTGAAGGTAGGGTGTTTATTTAAGATTTTTCTTTTTTTCTTAATGTAGATATGTATCTGCTTTAACCTTCCCTCTTAGAACTGCTTTTGCTATATTGTGTTGGTATATTGTGTTTCCATTTTCATTTTTCTCAAGATAGTTTTTGATTTCCCTTTTTTTTTTTTCTTTTTTTGTGAGGAGATCAGCCCTGTGTTAACATCTGCCAATCCTCCTCTTTTTTTGCTGAGGAAGACTGGCCCTGGGCTAAGATCTGTGCCCATCTTCCTCCACTTTATATGGGACGCCGCCACAGCATGGCTAGCCAAGCAGTGCATCATTGCGTGCCTGGGATCCGAACCAGCGAACCCCGGGCCGCCACAGTGGAGCGCGTGCACTTAACTGCTTGCGCCACCGGGCCGGCCCCAGTTTTTGATTTCCCTTTTGAGTTCATCTTTGACTCACTGGTTGTTTAAGAATGTGTTGTTTAATTTCCACATATTTGTGAATTTTCCAGTTCTCCTGTTACTAATTTCTATTTTCATCACATTTTGGTCAGAAAAGATACTTGATATGATTTCAGTTTTCTTAAATATGTTAAGACTTGTTTTGTAGCCTACCGTATGATCTGTCCTTGAGAATTTTCCCTATGCCCTTGAGTAGAGTGTGTATTCTGCTGCTGTTTGATGGAATTTTCTGTATATGTCTGTTAGGTCCATTTGGTCTATAGTGTTGTTCAAGTCCACTGTCTCCCCAGCCATCAAGGTTTTTTAAGATATCAAAATATTATATTATACAGAAAGTTAAAAAAAACACAATTAATACTCTCACACCATAGTCATCATGATTCATCAGGACTTCTCTTCTTTCAGTTTGTTGGCATGGAACAGAGAATGAAGAGACACCTTTTGAGCAGAGTGTTTCTATAGAAGCTTTCTCACAGGTCAGGACTCCAAAAGCAGGTCCAGCCACCCAGAAGACTCACCCCTGTGAGAAGTGTGTCCCAATCTTGAAAGACATTTTGCACTTGGCTGATCTACTTGGGCAGAAACCATACTTGGTTGGGGCATGTGCAGACCTACACCAGCTTCAGAAGCGTTCCAGTGCAGAGAAAAGGGATGTGGATAGAGCATCATTTGTTAAGAGCTGTATATTCCATGTGTCAGGGAATCCCTTCGCCTGTAGGAAGATTAGAAAGGAGTTCCCGGTCATGCTGGGGCTGCTTCAGCACCAGGACATTCCCAACAGTGAGAAGTCAAACAAAATCACCAAGCATGAGGAGGCCTTTCATGGTGGAAAAAATCATTACAAGTTGCGTGAATGTGGGAAAACTTCCAGCCACAAACACAGTCTTGTTTATCACCCAAGAGTCTCCACTAGAAAAAGAGTTTATGAGTCTAGCAAATATGGGAAAGCCTTCTGCTGTAAGTACTCACTTGTTCAGCTCCAGAGACTCCACACTGGGGAAAGACCTTATGAGTGCAGTGAATGTGGGAAATCTTTTAGGCAAAGAGCCACCCTCATTATACACCAGAGAGTTCACACTGGAGAAAGGCCTTATAAGTGTGGTGAATGTGGGAAATCCTTTAGTCAATGCTCCAACCTTATTGAACACTGCAGAATTCACAGTGGAGAAAGGCCTTATAAGTGTGAAGAATGTAAGAAAGCCTTTGGGTGTAAATCCAATCTTGTTCGGCACCAGAGAACTCACACTGGAGAAAAGCCTTATGAGTGCAGCGAATGTGGGAAATTCTTTAGACAAAGCTTCACCCTTGTTCAACACCGGAGAATTCACACCACAGCAAGGCCTTATGTGTGTGTCCAGTGTGGGAAATCCTTTAGTCAAAGAGCCACTCTCATTAGACACCAGAGAGTTCATACTAGTGAAAGGCTTTATGAGTGCAGGGAATGTGGGAAAGCCTTTGGATCTAAATCCAAACTCGATCGGCACAACAGAAGTCACACAGGAGAAAGGCCTTATGAGTGCACTGAATGTGGGAAATCTTTCAGACAAAGCTACAGCCTTGTTGAACACCAGCGAATTCACAGTAGAACAAGGCCTTTTGAGTGTGGCCAGTGTGGGAAGTCCTTTAGCAGAAGAGCCATCTTCACTAAACACCAGAGAATTCACACTGGAGAAAGGCCTTATAAGTGTGGTGAATGTGGGAAATCCTTTAGTCGAAGCACCAGCCTTATTCAGCACTGCAGTATTCACACTGGAGCAAGGCCTTATGAGTGTGGCCAATGTGGGAAATCCTTTAGGCAAAAGTCTGTTCTCATTCAACACCAGGTAGTTCACACTGGAGAAAGGCCTTATGAATGCAGCAGATGTGGCAAATCCTTTAGCCAACGCTCCAGCCTCAATCTCCACCGAAAATTTCACACCATGGAGAAGCCCTATGAGCGCAGGAAATATGGGAAATCCTTCACTCCAACATCTAACAGTTAGCACCAGAAAGTCCACACTTTAGAAAGGCCTTAGACCTGAAGGAAATGTGCTGTCTCCTTGTTCACTGTAATGGCACTAGACAGCTTTTGTGAGGGAGCCACCTGCCTGAAGTTGAACCTCATACTTCCAAACATGCAGAGGGGTGAAATTCCCCATGAGTTCCAGACATGTATGAGGCTTACAGGAGCTGCATTGCACACTGTAAACTCCCCAGGGCCCTTGCCAGAGTTACATCACTGCCAGTATCTCTGCTAGAAGCCATCTCACCTCTTCCACCTTGCACAGTGTTTCCTTGGTCACCCCAATGTGCTAAGGAAAAGCAGACTTCTGAGCTCTCTCTCCCAGTCCCTGGAGGAAATCTTGAGCAGTGTGTGCCCTTACAGTGATTTCCCTTTTCTGATTGGTTCAGAATGAATCTGACCTAGTTTGGGCCAAGAGTGGACTCTGCTGGAGGCTTGCAGGGAAGGCTTTTCTTCTTCATGGGTATTGTTGGTCACACATGACACTTGATTTTTCCAGCCTCCAAGTCATCATTGGGTAACTCTGCCTCACATTGCTCTGGTTTATGCTGTAATAAAATTCTTAATGTTTAATCTACCTTTAATCTTGGGGGTTACAGTCACTGTTTTGGGTGGGTGGAAAACAGAATTGGGCTCCATTTGTGTGAAGGGGTGGATGGCTTTTGTGGGCCCTCAACTTAATGTGTGCCTCAGCAGGGACAGTATGACAGAGAGTAGTTCTCATTCCAGTTTTGGCCTAATTTGCATTGCTTCCCAAGACCTAGGGACCAGTGCACTGCTTTGTGGTCCTAATTTGTGGCCTGGATGCCTCCATATATTGTGAGACCATAGGCCACCCTGAGGAGGGGTCACTTATTTTGGCAAGCTCCAGTGCCTTTGGGAATGGCATGAATTTCTTCTCTTGTTCCTGGAGAGTATCACATAATGCCCAGTACTGTTGAGGGGAAGCTTTTCACCAAGTTCTACAAAGGAGCCAAGCGTCCTGATGTCCATAATTCTGTAGGCTGGTGTCACTTGTCAGACTACAGGAACCAGGTGTGAACCATGATTGGTACTGAAATCCTGGGTGTGATTAATAGGCAGTGGAAGAGCCTGCAGCAAACCAGATGGAATGTGCCCCTTCTAAAAGTGCATCCAGTGACTATGGCTGTGAGGAGTCACAGGACCTCCAGAGCTGTGTATCTCCTGCAGCTGAAGTCATTGTTAGAGCAAGTAATCTAAAGGTTTTGTGAATTCTGGTTGTCTTTCCAGGCTGTTCACCTCAAGTCCATTGCTGTAAAGGGAGGGACATGAGGACAGAGAATGGAGGTCCTGTTGTCCAGGGATGTGGCTTTTGTGATCTAGCCAGTGGTCCTCTTGTCTCTTGTCCCAGATTGAAACAGCCTCCATTGCTCGCCAGTATTTCCTGCCCTAATTCAGGGCTGCCCTTCTCCAGGAATAAGGAGAACTAGAGTGGAGTAGGTGTAACAGTACAGTGGAGTGGGTTATTAAACCTTCTGGTTTCCAAAAAGAGTGGGAGATCCAGATTTTTTATTTTGAACTAGTTTTTAGAAACTTTATTGAGGCATAATTAACATGCAGTAACCTACACATATTTAAGGTATACAATTGGAAAAATTTTGTCATACATATAAAACCATCATAATCATAGTAATGAGCATATCCATGATTTTCCTCATACCCTTTATAATCTTGTCCTTCCTAGGCCTACAGGAGTCTAGTGATTTCCTTTCTTTAATAACAAATTAGTTTGCATTGTCTAGATTTTACATGAATCAAATCATGAAGTGTTTACTTTTTTCTGATATTTTTCACACTGCATAATTATTTTGAGATTCATCAATGTTGCTTATATGAAGAGATCACTCTTTTTATTGTTGAGTAGTGTTCTCTTTGCATATGCCACTTGTTTATCCCTTCATCTGTTAATGGGCAGCTGCATTGTTTCCAGTTTGTTGCTGTTAGAAATACAGCTGCAGTGAACATGGGCATCCAGTTCTTTCTATAGATATGTGTTTTATTTCTCTTGTGCCAATTCTTCAGAGTATATGAATGTTTCAATATTTAAGAAACTGCCAAACTGTGATCTAAATTGGTTGTACCCATCCGTGTTCCCACCAACAGTATATGAGAGCTCCTGTTCCTCCACATTCTGCCAGTACTTGCTGTTATTAATTTTAGCTGTTTTAATAGGGGTGTAATGGCATCTCACTGTGGTTTTAATTGCAGTTCTCTGATGTTTCATGACCTTGGGCATTTTTTGTGTGTTTGCCACTTGTATATTTTCTTTAATGACTGTTAATGCCATTTGCTTATTTTTCAATGGATGTTGGCTGATATTTCCCTTTTTATTAATAAATAAGAAGACGTATAACAAAGACATTTGTTGGAACTTCACTCATTCTTCAGCAGTGATGTGTCATCTTTGCTAAATGGAAGTATTGTTTTTGAATACTATATTTTCTCAATTTTTCTATGCTAGTCACAGTATAACTCCCACAGAGGCTGTATACTTTTAAGCATAATCTACATTCTCAACATATTCTCCATTACTTTCTTAAGTCTAGCCAGTCAGTAAAATAAACAAGCCCTGTTTCGTAGTGTTTGTCAGTTTCTCTAGTGTATATACTCCCATCCTGGCCAATTTTTTTTTTAAAAACATGATATCATTTATGTAAATAAAAAATACACATTTTGCAAAAATACAAAATTATAAATATCAAACAAAATTATAAATATCAATCAATTTATAATGTGTAGGGCTTGGGAGGGGAATAAGGAAAAAGGGAATAAAAAAATGAAAGGAGGCAGGTCCTTCTATGGATGAGTAAAGATCATGTGTCATGAATTGAAGAGTATGATTAACTCTCCCTTCTGTACCTGAAGTCCCCCAGAAAAATAGTGTTCTATTTTTGTTTTTAGGGTGATTCATACTCTAAGAAACACACTTATTTACTCCTGTCGGTTTCTTTTGTTTTGTTTTGTTTTTCTACTTTTTTTTTTAATTGCGGTAACATTGGTTTATAACATTGTATAAATTTCAGGTGTACATCATTATATTTCTATTTCTGCATAGATTACATCATGTTCCCATGTTCACCACCCAAATACTAATTACAATCCATCACCACACACGTGTGCCTAATGATCCCTTTCACCCTCCTCCCTCCCCTCTTCCCCTCTGGTAACCACCAATCCAATCTGTCTCTATGTGTGTGTTTGTTGTTGTTTTTATCTAGTACTTAATGAGTGAGATCATACGGATTTGATCTTCTCCCTCTGACTTATTTCACTTAGCATAGTACCCTTAATGTCCATCCATGTTGTCACAAATGGCTGGATATCATCGTTTCTTATGTATCCTGGCCAATTTTAAGTTGCCAAAATGATGTCCCTAAACACGGAGTTGGGAAGAGACGTGCAGTAGCACAGCATTGTATTCTGTTCTCACCACACTGATGCAGTGGTCACAGATAACCTCGGGAAGAGATGTAAGAGTAAGACAGAGGAAAATAATTTGGAAGTGACAACTTTTGAGTATTTACTACATTTACTTTAAAATTAGCTTTATGGAAGTATAATTGTTTTATAATAAATTGTGCATAAAGTGTACAATTTGTGTTTTGATACGTCCCTTAATCCCTTAATTAAATCCCTGATACCAAAAGTTTCCTCTGCCCTTTTCAATCCATTCTTCCTGACATAAAGTTGATAGGACATATTCTACCCTTTGTAATGGATATTTTCAAATATATGCATGAAAGGAATGTGTTTTGAAGCCCCATGACCTCATCCCCAGTCCTCCATCATCATTGGTCAATTCATGCCATTCTTGTTTCATCTATTACCACGCACATCACTGAATTGTTTTACTTATATTCCCAACATCTTGTCTTTCAATACCTAATCTCTTCAGAATGCATTTCCAAGATGTAAGGGCTCTCATAATCTTAATACCTTTTCCACACAAAATATTTGAGGTGTCATAAAATATATTGTCAGAGCTCAGGTTTTTTTAGTTTTCCCAAAAATGTGATTGTTCTTTAAGGCATCAGATCCAAAATGGATATATGACTTTTAGTCGATGTATCTGGTCAGTCTCTACTAATTTATAGATATCACTTCATTTTTTAATTCTTGGACCATTCATTTGTTGAAGTTGTTCTGTTGTTTGTCCATCAGAATTTGCCATGTTCTGGATTTGTTTTTTTTGCATCTGTCTGAAGCTGTTTCACATGCTTGACCACCCACATTTCCTGTACACTGGATATTGATGAGATGGATGACTGAGGTCTGCTCCTGGTGGATAAATGTGTGAGAGTGACACACCTGGAAACCCACACAGTGGGACAGTGTGTTTTGCTAGCACACTGTAACTCAGCCTGGAAACAAAAGCATTTCAGTTACCATATGTTGCAGGTGTCCCCAGTAGAGTGGGAGAGTGCGGTTTGGTGCCTGCTAGTGTCACTGCAGCGTAGCCTAGAGACAAACACATATCTCAAACCCTGTGCAACAGGTATGTGAAACTGACACCTCAACACAGCCTGCTTGTGCTATACATGTGTGTATACCACATCCACAACAGACAACAAGTGTGACATACATGGGACACCCAGCCAGCATATGCAAAGCACACGAGGGACCTGTGAGATGGGACACAGGTACCAATATACCACAGGAATGGTGGCCACACAAAAGCACCAATACAGCAGAGATTTGTGAGGCAGGCAGGTGATAAGGATGCCCCAGGGCCTGGTGTGTGGGTTGCACACACATACACAGAGACTGAATATATAAACAGACAATGGTGAAACCATGTATGAAAAGAGAACTTTGACCCACATCCTCTACACCAACCAACCTGCAATGGGGAGGACTTGGTGAATAATTGTTAGCTTCCCTAAAATCTGCCGATTAAGCCACTTCCGACTTAAGACCAACTAGAGAAAGCCAAATATGTTCCCCTAACTAATCACATAGGATGTGTTGCTGCTAGTTAGCCCGCCTCCAGCCTCACCATGCTAACAGCCTCCATCAGGGCATTCCTGAAGCTTTCTCTTTTTTCACCATCAAGTTTTCCCACTTTCCTGTCTGCCTTTGAGTCTCTGCCAAAGCAAGTGCTGGTGACTGACTCTCTTGCTATAGCAAGCTCTGAGTAAATAGCCTATAGCTTTTGCTTGTGCTCATTTGAGATGGTCTTCATTTATTTCCACAACACACACACACATATAGTCACACAGTCTCCATGTTCTGAGTGGGACAATGCAAGGACAGCATGGTTTGCAGAGAACAACCCTTCCCATCATTCTACAGGCTTGATGTGCTGACGGGGGTCAGAATAGGGAA